TCAAATTATTCACTAGACGCCATAAATTCTAAAATTCATTTTGGCTTTCAGACCTGGCATGTGGGTGGTTGGCGGGTGCTCTGGTGTGGTTTGCTGCTTCTTTTCAATCAAACATCTATCGTCTTTATCTCCCCTCCTTCTTTTTTATGTTTGTTACTCCCTTTGTAACACCTCTAATCTTCTGGCACTCATATGACCTTATGTAGTAGCGAGCGCCGTAAAACCTCTACTAAAGCAAAGCAAGCAGACATAGCATCTGCCTGTCTAAGGCGTTTAAAAAAATGAGCATGATATTGACACCCTACGTCAAGTAGAAAACTAAGTCTTGCAGTCAAAATATTGAAAAGTCTAAAAGTAACACGACATACTCGTTTTTCACACATGTGACAAAAACAGGAACACGTTCTTTCCCGCGCATAGTTGATGACGTAGAATAGTTTGAGCTCTGACCTAATGAGGTCTGACGCCAAACGGGTGAATATAAACAGTCCTCTGACATCAGCCAAATTGGCAGACAAACACCGAGGAGCAACAATGATAGACAGGTTCGCTGAGAATCTCCCCGATTGTTTTCATAATCAGAGTCAGGGCGGCAGGGATCTACGCATGGATGTATTGAGAACGATAACATATTTTCAAATTAACATTAGGAATGTCGTAATAGAAAATCGCGGGTTACGTCATAATTACAATGCAGAATAAGGTGGGTGGATATCAAGATCTCGAGTTCTCTGCTTACCACATCGAACGACCTGATGCCCTCCGCCCCCACACCATCTCTTTTCTATCTTTCTCCTTTTTCTTCTTCTCCTACTCCGCAACCACTCCCTCGATCGCAATCTTCCCATCTTTTCAGTACACACGCACTGACATAAAATACGCTCGCAAACACACAAACACTCACATCCGCACATCCTCAAACACTCACACACACTCACACACACACACACACATACACACACAGACACACACACATACGTGTGCACTCACACACACACAGACACACACA